TCCATATAAAGCTAATTAAAATTAGTATTCTGTTAAAAAAATAAGAATTTTTAATTGTAAAGGCTAACTAAGCTTTTATTTAGTATAAATACTAAAATATTTAAATAGGGTTATATGATATGATGATTTTTAACTATATTTAATGAATTTTAACTTATAAGAATAAAATCTTAATAGATTTAATGAATATCTTTAAAAAAATATTCATAATTCATTGGGAAGTACTCAAAATTTTAGGAGTAGGGATGTAAAATCACAATTTATTATTAATGGTAAGACTTAGTTTAAACTTCTATTTTATTCTATAAATCTTGAATACTTCTTCAACACGTAATTAAAATATAAATTATATTGACGATTATCTCTTATAAATGGCTAAGTATTCTTAAAATAAAAAAAATTATTTATATGCAACTCTCCTTTTTTTTATTGGCAATCCTTTTGATTACTTTCTGAAATTTTATACTTATAGTATAAAAATCAAAAGACTTAGATAATTTTGAACACTTTACTTCAAATCATGATTCCCTTCATCTTATCGAATCGTTATTTACATTATAAATTCATAATAAAATTAATAATAAAAACCTTGTGAATTTTCAATTTCTTTGACCTAATCCTTATTTATTGAATTAATTCTCTTAAACTCTAAGTATTAAAAAATCAAAAAATGATAATACAGAAATATAAAATTTAAAGTATTCCAAAATCCGATATAACCCAATTATAAGCCAGCATTTAATTATCCAAATTAATTTTAATCTTTCCTTTCATCTATTAAACATGTTGCTATGGACAGCTAATTTAATTTTTCAATTTCAATACTAACACAAAAATAATATATAAAAATAAATAATTATTAAGTGAAGAAGTGTTCAACTTATTAAAATCTATTTTAAGGGTTGTCTCACATATTTTATATAATTAAAGTGGATCTGATAAATTTTTTTTAATTATAATTGAATTTAAATTTTATTCTCTATTTTGAGCCTGCCAAGAATATAATTTCACATATTGTTTGGAAAAACAAACATGCAAGAAAATTTTTTGCAAAAATTACTTTAAGTTTATATTAAGTAACAATATTATAAATAAATTTTTTGAAGAATAGACTTGATAAATTTGACCATTAAAACTAAAAGAATAAGTAACTAAAAAGTTACAAGCAAGCATAAAATGATATAAAATAAGAGTCGTTTGGAACTTCTATAGTCAATGCATAAATTTAATTCATTAATAGCTTAATATGCGGAAGTTTATTATGTTTTATTAACTTAATTTATTTGTGAAATAAACATTAAAAAGTACAAAAAAAAATCTCTCATTATATTTGAGTGCTATTTTATAAATATGTATTTAAATATTATAAGTTTTAATTTACCTTAAATTTTATTTCATTTATCAAATGATGCTAAATAATTTGATTGAACTTTGCTTTTAAAAATATACGATAGGTGAGTTTAATATTTGAGATGTCCAATAATCTGCATTCGCATTTCCCTTTATAAATCCAATGTATATCACAATTGCAAAAGATAAAATGTTGATTGAAATATTGGAATTCTTTTTAAAAACCCTTTTATAATTAAATATTTATTGAATACTTTAAAAGCTATTAAGTTAATAAATTAAACTGTCCACAACTTCTAGATGAAATTTTTCATATGTTCTTTGGACCTTATAATTTTAATTATTGAGCGATTTAACAAAATTTAAATTTAAATATAAGTATATATTATTATAGGCTGTATTGATTTTATTAAGAATAACTCATTAAGAAAATAAATCCACTATTTTACAAGAAATAGATAAGATTGATTGCGAAAACTTTTTTGGTATCTAAAATTTAATATTGCATAATATAATAAAGTAAAATATTATGGATTTAGTGCTTAATGAAAACCTTTATATTATTATAATAAAAGTAAAGTAAACATCAAAGATTTGATTTACTTAGTTAAATT